GGAGGGAAGGTGGGTAACGGGTAAATGGACAATAAATGCATTACTGCACAGGGAAGAAGAAAACAAAAGGGTACAGCCTCTGTCTGGAACAGCTTTAACATTTAACATAGGCAGGCGTGCAAGGGTAGCTGAAGACTTACGTTGCTATCTTCCCGCACTAATTAATGCCTCTTTCTTTCGATGCAAGATGACTTTGCCTCTTTGTCCTCCCACAAACACCTCTATATTTTTCTCCTCCTCACTGTGTGAAGTAGCTTCTCCATATCGGCTGTAATTGCCTCCCACGCTAACATCTGCTTCCAAAAGACAACTCTACCCTCTGAGGCATGTCAGGTTGTGGGAGCATTTTTATGAGAAGAGAATTAAATCAGCACCCCACTCCCCCCAATTCTTCCTTTCAGCTCATCTCTTTAGAGAGACCCATTTCTTTGGGGCTAAGCTACATAAATCACACAGTTTTAGCTTTTCCTTTTTTAAAAAAAATAAAATGCAGCCATGGAAGCAGTATTCTAAGGCAGAAGAATTGCACCCTGAATTGGGATGGGTAGGGAAGGCAAAAGTCACTTAACTTTCCTCTCAAGTGGTTATGCCATTAAAAGCTATATACCCCTACATGTCAATTCCTAGGCAAACTTGTGTGTAGCTTAACTATTCTGAGCTGTACCTTCATCCTCCTTTACAACCAACCAATACAGTTTACGGGTAAGCACAGCAAAGGCTTCAATGAATCTTGGCCACTCTGCCCAATAAATTAGTTTCCATGTTGAAAGGCAGACAACAGATGGAGATAAACCATTTCATGTTGGTATCAGCTCTACCAACGAACAGCTTGCCATAAAAGCCACAGCAACATTTGCTCTCTCAAGACAGACCACAATGAAGAACTTACTGCTAACGTTGCTGCTTTTTTGTCTGGTGGCGCTTCTGTAATAGCTGCAGAACAGGCAGCAAATCCAACAGATGCAGCTTTTGCTGGCATTCTCATTCCCAGTTCTGGCTGCCATGCCACTTAAGGGCACAACAGCCCCAATGGCAACTCTGTAGGCATTCTCAAGCTTGCAATGCCGAACCAGTAGGATTGAATCAGCTGCAATGGATCATCAGGAATGCTTACTTCTAACAGTTCATAGAAGAATGGATTTCAGGAGGTGGAAGTCTAAGCACCCTGTCAAAAACTGCTTGACAATGCCAGATTACACCAGCCAAAATCCTTTTCCGCACAGCTACTGAAGGTACAGCAGTTTTCCTGTTCTGCTCATTCCAGAACCCAGCAAGCTGAAGAAATAGACTAACAAGGCCAGTTGCCCAAACAGTGATACAGAAGGAACGATGGTGCAGAAAACACCACTGATGGTCAAGGCTATTGCTAAGCTGAAGCTCCATGAGCACAATGCAAGATACCAACCTAAAGGTGGCTGAGGTAAATAATTATTTCATGCAGAACTAAAATCAGGACAAGCCTTGCTTAAAGACAGCAGCAAAACCACCACAGACTGCTGCTAAAACAGCTGAGGTATCCTACCACAGAAGAGGAAGAACAGAAAGGACCTCCCATAGGTTGTTCCAGTCCATCTCCTACTCTAGCAAGACTATTTTTGGCTAGCTGTAGACCAGCTGAATGGGGACGTGGATGGTGCTGTGGTCTAAACCACAGAGCCTAGGGCTTGCCGATCAGAAGGTTGGCGGTTCGAATCCCCGCGACAGGGTGAGCTCCCGTTGTTCGGTCCCAGCTCCTGCCAACCTAGCAGTTCGAAAGCACGTCAAAGTGCAAGTAGATAAATAGGTACCGTTGCGGCAGGAAGGTAAATGGCATTTCCATGCGCTGCTCTGGTTCGCCAGAAGCAGCTTAGTCATGCTGGCCACATGACCTGGAAGCTGTCTGCGGACAAACACTGGTTCCCTCGGCCAGTAAAGCAAGAGGAGTGCCGCAACCCCAGAGTCGTTCGCGACTGGACTTAACGGTCAGGGGTCCCTTTACCTTTAGACCAGCTGAGGGCAACTTTTTCTTTCCCTTCCTGCCCCCACTCTAAAGGGACGAAAAATTAATATTACAGCCCCAGGATGGATATAGTTTTGGATCTTCTTCAAGGCCATGATGTAGGGGGGAATCCTGCAGATCATGGCTTCCCCTGACACATGCCATTTGCCCTGCCCACTGCTGGGGAAATAAATAGTACTACCAAGACAGCTTTGACTGGCTGACTGAACCAGGTTAGGGTGGTTGATGGGTCTATCTCGGTGAGTTAAGGACATCCCCTGCATGAGAAGACAGGCTCTGGTGGATTGAGCGGATGAGACCAATAGTAGGTCCAATGGTCAAGGAGGCAGTTTCTGCATGTGCTGTAGAGGGAAATGAGGGGCAGATGGAGCTCATTAACAAGGGAAGTTAGCCCTTCTAGGAGCAGGAAAACTCTGATTCTAAACCTTGCGGAATATCTTCAGGAGAAGGCTATGGATGAAATGGGAATGGAGTCCCTGCATAAAGCACATGTGTGTTGAATGCAGAGTTCTTCTGTGCTTTAGCAATGGATACCTATTTTGTAGGCCTATCCTCTTAATTTTTATATTGGCTTATTCTTCACTGCATTTGACATCACTGACTAACTGGATATTGAAAATTCTAGGATGATTTGCAATGAGTTTAGAGTCCAAAGTTTCTTAAAACACACACATTTGTGGTCTAAGGCACTGCAATCATTTGAAAAATGTGAATGAAGGACCTTCCTCAAAACAGGGCATTAAAGCATGTCCTTAAATCAGGGATCAGAAATGCTAGAGAGTTATAACTTGCACAAACCCTCACCAATGGCCGTGTTGGCTGGTGCTGGTGGCATTTGGGAGTCCGGCAACATCTCAAAGGCCAGTTTCCCTAAACCAGCCTTCAACAATCAAGATACTTCCAAAGTGCTTGGAGCTAGAATGGGGCACATGCATAATAAAAGGTAAAGGGATCCCTCACAATTAAGTCTAGTAGTTAATGACTCTGGGGTTGCAGTGCTCATCTTGCTTTACAGGCTTAGGGAGCCGCCGTTTCTCCGCTTTCATAGACAGTTTTTCTTGGTCATGTGGCCAGCATGACTAAGCCGCTTCTGGCGCAATGGAACACTAACACCAAAACCAGAGCAGCACACGCAAACGCCGTTTACCTTTCCACCAGAGCAGTACCTATTTATCTACTTGCACTGTGTGCTTTCGAACTGCTAGGCTGGCAGGAGCTGGGACCGAACAACGGGAGCTCACCCCGTCGTGGGGCCTCGAACCGCAGACCTTCCAATCGGCAAGCCTAAGCAGCACAGTGGTTTAACCCACAGTGCCACCCATGTCCCTTCTGCATAATAAAAGGGTATGTCAATTACCAGAAAAGTCTGAAAGGGATACATTTTAAAATCTCCTTCCAGAAATTGTGAAGCTTAAAGTGTACCTCTGTCACAAGACCAAGATATTCCCAGATTATCTAGGAAGCTGAAATGATGTTACCTTATTCTGGGAAAGTGACCTCCTGATGAGGCTCTAGTGATTTCTGCATGTCACACAGCAGCTACAACCATAACAGCCTCATCAGAAAATAATGGAGAATTCTAAATGTTGATCCCCCCCCTTAGATTTTTAGTAGTCATCAGTGGTTTAGTTAGTAAACCGATTACTAAATGAGCCACAACTATCTTCTTAATACATTGTGTGTTCTTCTCATCTGCTACATAAATGTAACCCTCTGTGAAAATATCTACTGGGGGGGGGATTATTTAAATACTGAGATCATTCTGGTAGTTGAGAAGCAGTACATAGCCAAGAACTGTGGACAATTAGGCTCTTAACCAAGATTCACACCTGTCAAGCATAGATTCTATTTTAAAACAGTTTCTCAGTTGCTCAGAAGATGGAATGTACACCAAGGAAAGCAAAAGATGCCAACCTATAGCGATAATATATGTGGGTCTTCAAACAGGTCATCTATGCTACTATATACAGAAACCTTCAAAAGTCCAAGTGTGCCATGCTAAACAGGAGAGGATGGGACACTTTGAGCCCATTTCTGTAGGCAGCGACCACTTTGATACACATCATTCCTAATTTTCATCAAACAAGATAGATGACTTGGCTGGCAGTCTCTCTCTTGAACAAGCGGTAGTGTTGATTTTAACCTATATTTATCACTTAAATTAGTAGCATGCGGGGGTAGAACTTGGAAAGGCCCACAGCAAGCACTTCCTTCTTTTCCGCATTTGCTAAAAAGAACAAAATGCCCACTATTAATTCGCTTCCAGCAAACATAAAGGATGCTTCCATGGCATTCAGCAGACTATTGGCATAACACATTGCACATTCTGGCACAAAACCCACATTTCAGGCAGGAAGGATTTTCCATTACTGGAGGGAAATGATAGATTACTACGCAACCCATCCGTTTGTGGGTTTTTATTCAGCCAAATGCTTGAAACACTGAAGGCATCCAACAGCAAGTATGGGGGCTGCTGCCTGACACCTTCCCTGTGGTTGAAGAAGAGATTCAAATCAAGGGTCCATATAGGTGTTACGTAGCAAATGTCTTCCTTCAGAGAACCTAATCCTTTAAACCATTTTTTAAAAAATGAACAATCACACAGAAGAGGGTTAGTAGCACAAAGGACAGAAAGCATGTATTTGGGGTTATGATCCAAAACAGGCTCAAGATTAGATTGCTTCTCTTTTTGGACTCTGATACAAGAACTGGTTCATATCCTGACACATCACTAACTAGTTCTCCACGGGCCTCACTGTTGTTACTGACATTTCTCAACTACCAGCTGTGTAACTGTATGTGCATAACATTAAAATGGCTGCTTGTGTTTGGGGGTGGGAAGACACATGGTAGCACCCTTTAAGAGCAGCTCCCAATAAGCCCCGGGGCTGTGTGGGGAGAACCAGGAGTGTCCAGGACCCAGGAGCAGTAAATGACCACACACACCCCGCCCCTCCAACCAGCCTGACCCCCCAACCCCTGCCATCATATTTTGGCCTACCTTTAAGTAAACTGAAGTAGAGCTGTCACATGTCCCATAGTTTAGGCGTCATCCCTTAGCAGTCCACCACACTGGCGCGTAGGTCCGTCGTTTATTCCATCCCGCCGGAGCGCCACAAACCCCAACGGGTGCCCCTTCTTTAGCCAGGTCCTGGGGAGGAGAAGAGGAAGCAAAGGAGCCGCCGTCACGCCGGTCCTGGTTCGAGGAGAGGCAGGAGAGAGGCAGCGCCCCCACCTCCCGTCCCCAGCCACCCTCCCTCCCTTTAAACACTCCCGGCTATTTTTAGGAAGGCGAGAAAACAAGCGCTGCCCCTCGAGGAGGCGGCTCGCTCTGCGCGCAAGCCTGCTTGGAAGACACAAGGAGAGGAGGGAGGGGGACCCCAGAAACCGGAGGGCCAAGCAACCCTTCCAAGTCAAAGTCCCCGACCCCAATTCTCAGCAGCGAAGGGCCCCCGCTGTCACTCGACAGCAGCGGAGAGGCGGGCGGGGGGAGCCCCGCTTGGATGCCAGCAGAGGAGCATCCCCGATCTCGCCGCCGCGGCTTCTCCAGCCCCCACCACGGGGCGCTCGGCCCAGCAAGCGAGGCTCTCTCGCCCACACCGTCGGTTCCGCACGTGTTGCGCCTCCCTTTGCTGAAGTGGCGGCGGCGGCGGCGAAAAGGGTGTGCGTGTGTATCTTACACATCTACTCACCTCCCCGACGGCCGATTCAGCGCATCGTCTCCTCTTTCCCCCCTCGCACTGCGGCTGAACCTTCTCAGCTTTTGGGCAACTCTCCGCCCCCTGCAGGCTGTTGCGGGTGGTGGTTTATTTGCAAAGGAGGGGGGTGTCTTTTTTATTTTGGAAAAAGATTACTCCGGGGGTGCTTTGGACAAACGCCCGGGCGGAGCTCCCGCTGTCATTGCCTCCCCAACGTGCAGCTGCAGCTGCTGATCCCAAATTCACGGCGCTCCGGCTGCATGAAGTCATCGTGCTCCTCCTCTTCCTCCCTCCCCCACTCCGGATCACCGCATTCAGCTCTTACTGGGGGTGGGTGGAAAGGCAACCCCCCCCCCAAGGCGATAGATGAATGAGGCAGGGATGGATAAATGAGGGCGTGGGGAAGCTTCGCGCCTCTCATTGCTAAAAGCTTCCTTCTCCGGGAAACCGGCGAGGCTTGGAGCGCCAAACGAGATTCCCTGCCTTCCCTCCCTCAGATTTCACCCCGGCTTTGGATGCTCGATGGGCTGCTCCGCGAAAATCTCCCCTCCCCTCTTAACTTCTCTCCGGGCTCCCCCGAGGATCTATTTACGAGGGGGCGGGAGAGAAGCTGATGATCTGTGCGCTTTAGCCGGGATCCATCCATTTGCACCTGCGAGTTGCAAACCGGAGTAGCTGTGGAATGCAGACCTTGTGATCCCTGAGCCTCGTTCGCAGGCTGAGCAAGAATTGCAAGAGTGCTTGGGAAGAAGCGATTGCTCCCTGCAGAGCGTTTTCGAGGAAAGGCTACGTAGGCCTCTCGCGTGGTTGCTGTAGATATCTGCTGCAGTCCCAACTGTTTGCAATAAGGTTTCTGCAGCGTTTTAGCAGAAATCTGTTCAATCTTTCTCATTTCTGTTGAGTTAGAGCCAGGCTTAGTCATGCTGAGAGCAAACTGTGAACCTTGGAGCTAGTCCCATTAATTTCAGTGGGTCTGCTTTAAGCGTGACTAACCTTCATCTCACTCGTAATTTGCATGAAGGCACTATGCTATTGGTAGCCTTATTTTTGGCGCTTTGTGCTGAATTTTCATTTTTCACAACTCCCACCAAAAGAGTTGGTACAGTGGTACCTCGGATTACATACGCTTCAGGTTACATACGCTTCAGGTTACAGACTCTGCTAACCCAGAAATAGTGCTTCAGGTTAATAACTTTGCTTCAGGATGAGAACAGAAATTATGCTCAGGCGGAGCAGCAGCAGGAGGCCCTATTAGCTAAAGTGGTGCTTCAGGTTAAGAACAGTTTCATTTTAAGGACGGACCTCCGGATCGAATTAAGTACTTAACCCGATGTACCACTGTATTTTCATTCAGCTGTTCACCACGACCCCAAGATCACTTTTCAGTTCAGTCATTGTGCATAATTGCACAAATACTTACATGAAACTGCACTTACCATTTTCTTGCACATTTGCCCAGTTTGGAACAATCCTTTTGGGTGCTTGTCCTGAATAATTTGGTGTCACCATCAAACTGGCTTCTCAAGGTTCTCTTAAGACTTTTTGTGAATGGGGAGGGGGACGCCAATCCCCCCAAATTTTAGGGGGGGGCACTTCTTACATTCCTCCATTGTAGGATCCACCCACTTGCACCTACTTTCTGCTCCCTGTTCTTTAACCAGTTACTATTCTGTAAAGGGACCAATGCTCTGATCCCTTGACGCTAAGTTTACTCATTAACCTTTTGTATGTTTTTGTGTGTGTTCCAAATCTCTTTAAAAGTCCAAGCCCAGATAACCCCATTTACATGCTTTTTGACGCTGGGTGGGACAGGACTTAACCTTTGCAGAAGCCATGTTGATTCCTCTTCAGTAAAGCTTGTTCATTTAAATCCATGTTATGTTCCTTTAATAATGATTGCCATCAATTCATGTTAAGCTAATTGGCCTGTAATTTCCCTGGATCCCCTTTAAAAAATAATGCTGCACTGGCTTATGAAGGCTGGTCTTAGGGATGTATTGAACTTTTTTGTATGTAAGCGCAACAATTTCACTTTTGAGTTCTTCAAGGACTCTTGTGCAGATGCCACCTGGACGCAATATTTCTGTCTGGCTTGAAGCATCCTCAGATTGTGATAACTCTCCTCATCGGGGTGGAGAGGTGATTTTTGCATGGCTACAATATAATTTCCCATACAAAGTAAGAGTCACAACCAATATTACTCTTTCCACCTCTCCCCACACATTGTCCGTATGTGGCCCTCAGAAGGTTACCCATAAAGAAATAGGCTGAAAAATGCCCCCCACCCCTAGCTTACAATGGCTAGATGTTTTCCAATGCCAGGCACATAGGAGGTTAGTAATAGGAAGACAGTGGGCAGGGTTCACCTAACTAGCCTTACCAGCAGAAGCCATGCTCAAGGACTTGCACAGAAGGGTTTCCTCCCTTCTGCTCCCCCATGTGCCCCTGACGCCCTGGAATTGGCTCACGGCAGGTGGGTAGGTCAGGAGAACGCTCAGAACCACACGTGGGGTGAGGAGAGGGGTATCATTCTATCTGGCAAGCTGCAATACTTTCACGGAGAGAACAACTGGAAGAGTGTGACATTGAACCCAATGGTTTGCAGCATGTTCAGAGAGCCTTTTCCTACAGAATACATAATATTCCTACAGAATACAGTGGTACCTCGGGTTACATACGCTTCAGGTTACAGACTCCGATAACCCAGAAATACTCCCTCAGGTTAAGAACTTTGCTTCAGGATGAGAACAGAAATTGTGCTCCGGCGGCGCAGCGGCAGCAGGAGGCCCCATTAGCTAAAGTGGTGCTTCGGGTTAAGAACAGTTTCAGGTTAAGGACAGACCTCCGGAACGAATTAAGTACTTAACCCATGGTACCACTGTACCCACAACCATAGCTGGAGTTTCCAAGCAAGTATTGAGGCCTGACACCTTGCTCACTTGAGAAATTTTAGCACTGTAATCTTCAAGGTCATTGCCTCGTGCGTTTCTATGGTGATTCAGCTGGCACTTCTAAACAAAAATGCAGCCTCTTCACACAGATTATGTTTCATCAGAACCATCTGCAGAGAACGCTCAATGGCTTTCTCTCTCTCTATTGATCCCCTATTGCATTTATAACAAAGTTTGCCGTAATCCCCACCCCCTTCTCTTTCTCCCCCTCGGACTTTTATTTTATACCTATAAATATTCCGTGTAGAGTGTATACTGCAAATACTTCACATCTGTGGCCAGTGATTCTAGACAGTGATTTGTGGTGGATCTATTGTTTCTTCAAAGCTGCAGAATGTTCAAAGGAAGGGCAACTTGGGCAAGATTTTTAAAAATATCACAGGCTGGCATGGCAAATATATAGAACTATCGAAGTAGGCTGAAGTGCGTAATCGAGACCTTTCTCTTGAGCAAATTCTCTTGAAATGGATGTGATTTGATTATGTTTAATATTCAGTTGTTCATTTTTGAAAGTGTTTGTTACTTATAGCCCTGAGAGGCTCCCAAATATCAAATATTTCAAAAGGTTAGCAGATCTAATGAGGGGTGGGGAGAACCATAGTGACCAGTTTGTCCAGATGGCCTTTTCTTTGTCTTCATTCTAGGCCTTCATTGGTGTGGATCTTTGAGAAAACTGTGACTGAGCAGGTGAACCATGAAGCTCAGTCCATAAACGGGTCAGGTCTTTGCTGGTTGGCAGTTGCCAGGCAACTGCTTCCACTGAGGACCTCTGAGGCAAAGGAGTAGTTCAGCCCATGATGCATCCAAGTTCTTCGCTTGTTGGGAGCTCTTAATCATCACTAATATTCATCTCAGTCTTAAGCCAGTTTCACCTGATGGGGTTTGAGAACCCTGAAGATATTAAACTATGAGCTACTGAGAAGGGACATAGCTCAGTAGAGGACACTATATGCTTTGCATTCGGAAGGTCCCTGGTATCTTCAGTTAAAAGGATCCAAGAGAAGAAGATCTAGAAAATCTCTCCCAAGGAGCTGCTGGCAGTCAGGGTAGAACAGATTACGCTCTTCTAACAAACAGTTTGATACAGTATAATAATCTTCTGCTACTGTGAACAATATGCTAGATTTTTAAGAGCAGCAAAACCTGCTCTATATTTAGAACTTCGTATTTTTACCATGTCAGTAGCACAAAGTGAAGCTCCTGCCAGAAAAGGGTTTTTGAATTTCCTTTGTGAAATCCTGCAGCTGTGATTCAAGAGCCCGTTCAATCAAAATGGGAGAGAAGGAGAGCAGATAGTGAAAGCAACAAGAAGCTGTGCTTAAAAATATATATATATCCATGTGCACTTTCATGTCCTTGACCACGTTAAACAAATGAAGGCGGCCATAGCTGGCTAGTAACTGATTGGTAGAGTCTCAGCCCAAAGCCCAAGCCCTGAGAACACAGCATTTCAAC